AAACTGCGTGTTTTTGAGGTAATTCTGAAAAAAACTAACACCCTAGCTTCTACACTCCCCACTCTCCAGACATGTTACGCCACGCTATAAAATTTTTATGCTGCTTATACACGTCGCAAATACATAGTCATGGTGCACTAGCTAGTGATTGCCTGCGTGCATTCTGTCGAAGTGAAACGATTCCGTGATGCTATTCGTTTTTTATGTGGAATACTGTAAAAATTAGAAGACATACCTTTAGTTTGAAGAATAACGGTCTGAGAAGTTACCAGCCGGCAGTCTTCAAATCTCGAATGACGCGTACTTCCAGCTGTCACACCTTTTAATAAACCTTTGTGAAGCTATAATGGTTTTGTTTGTGGAAACACCACGTAAATTTATTACTGCAAAGCTCTCGATCCGTAAGGACTGCGCGTTTTTGAGGTAATTCTGAAAAAAAATTAACACTTTTCTACACTCCCCAACTCCAGACATGTCTCCAGACCAAGGATTACAAGTACCGGTAACTGCTTCGGTGTGGCATATGTAGCAGCAATGATGATCAAATATACAATGCGTTTACTGATAATTGATGCCTCTTCATATTGGCTTCCTTTTGTACAAGTAATATTGTGCAATATCCTTCCCTATTTCCTAGGTTGTAAAGGAAACATAATTATTATATACATGCAGAACAGTGAAAATTCATAATGAAGGTCCCTTAAGCGTCAGACTCTTTCTTATGCTGTTCTATAGCGCAGATTAGGTTAGCGCAGATTTTAAGCCTACAAGAATACATATACATGCGCAACTGGACAAAATGAAATGGTACACGCTTAGTACAAAACAGAATTATCTTGTATGAAATAGCGCAAGGTGTTCTGAAGTGAATTACTGAATTCTATATGTGAAACATTTTGCGCAACTATATATTAGCTAGTTACCATCGCAAGAACAATTTATTATTTATGTACTTACTTTGGTTTGCAAATGCACCAAACTTTAACTTTAATAGCGTAGATATATGTGTAGCTTTTATAAGCCAAGATAAGAGTGAAGGCAGCCAATGCACAGCTCAAAAACAACACTTCCTCACAAGCGTCCGCGTTAAAGACTTATTGTCGATTGAAGTTGACTGTGTTTATGGAACAATTGACCGGAATTTAGAGTATAGTCTAGAAACCTGTGTTTTTTTCCCCAACAGACATAGGCGTGGCTTGCTAACAATGATAGTTATTTCACCTTGCCAATATACAAGGAACTTATTAATTAATTATTATAAGGTGAACTAATATTTTGAAGTATCGTTATTTCCGACAGGAATATGCATTAAGCTAAAAATAACGGAAAATCTGCAACAACAATATTGTTTTATGATTAAAGCAACACTTTGCGGAAAAACTCGACTCTCGAGCTAAATATTTTTTTGAAATTTATAAAGGAATACCAATTCTCTAAACATCTGGGGCCGGTTGTTCAAAGCTGGATTAGTGCTAACCCTGGGTTAAAATTTAACCTGCTGTTTTAGTTTATATATTTCTGCACATCTGTTTATTTCAAACTTCTGGGAAGCTCCAGACAAGATTTGCAAAGAAATGTTCCCATATTTATACACAACTTGTTGGGAAGTTTGCTTTGAATTTTAGGTTAACCTAGGATTAAAAAGTGAGAATATATACATTTTAAGACCTAACCAGGAACGACTGCGAAAAATGCAGCACAAGGACCTCCGGTAGGAATTGAACCTACGGCCTTGCGCTGCTCCGGAATCGCAGGGCCGTAGGTTCAATTCCTACCAGAGGACCTTGTGCTGCATTTTTCGCAGTCGTTCCCGGTTAGGTCTTAAAATGTATATATTCTCACTTGGATTACAAACCCTAACATCCTAATAACTTTACTTACTTGTTTAATTATAGCAATATGGTTGAATTCTGGGTTATGTGTTTTCTCATCAGCATCGGATGTCTCTTGAATTGTTTTATTGTTGAGCTCACACCGACCTTTATCAATTCCAGAAGTTTTGTAATTGACTGACGCACATGATCCATGTCTAACGCAATACACGCCACATTCTAGCTCGCTCTCTGCCTGTTTTGTTTCGATGACATGATTTGTCAAGTATTTTTGTACATTTCTGTGAAACATTGCTTGCTTTGAGCACACGCCTGGTTGTGGTATTTCTGAGATGAAAATTAACGCACAAATACTTAATAAGACAGCCATTTCATGTAAGACAGACAGACGCTTTAATTTGAAGGCAGCTAGGAATTACAGAATGCAGTTTTATTATATTGAGAGGATTTTAATATTGATAAATATTTACAGATGCAAACGCGATCTCTTCAAGTGGCGACTACATTGCGCGTTTTCCTGCAATGTGATTGGCTCTTCGGTGGCCGTTTGACAAGGATGACTTTGTTCCTATTGCAAACACCTGCAAATGTGGTATATATTTATATATAACGTTTCGGGTCATAAAATGGCAGCTTCAATCCAATACTTCAGTCTACTATTGACTATACATATATCTCTGTTTACCTATATATAAACATGGGTTTATGTTTATATGACAACGTTGAGTGCGCGAGCGCATGCATGTACAGCTGAATCCATTCCAGTCGACAGCTTTATGTGGTAGGACATGAATATTGAGTGGAATGTGAATATTAAGATATAGGAATATAGGAATATATTTGGAATATGAATATGAATATGCTAAACAAAATTAAAACGACTATTTGCCATTATTGAATAATGCAGGTGGGAACATTGATTCCAGATTTACGTTCTTGATCCAGATTTACGAACATGTCTTCTTCAGCCGTATATATGTTAATCATCACGATATGGCATTTATAATTTTTATATATACGGTGATTAACATATATATATATATATATATATATATAGAATTTCGCTTACCTCAAAATTCCGCAACAGTCTGTTTCATCAGTAAAGAATCATCAGGCGGTA